GCCGATTTGCTGGCTTGGTCTTGGGAGACAGGAGAGGAAATTTTTGTTGGTGAGCAAGCAGGACCACCCACTAAACCTGATTTAACAAAGCTCTCTATGGACTCTTTCAAATTGTATCGAGAATTAAGGGATTGTCTGAATGTCCGCATTTTAAATGCAATGAGATTCGGAGATGTTAATTACACTAATCGTGCTGTTTTTGGAATACTTGGATATTTGTTCGAACTCAAGATGTTAATTATGTGGAAGGATGGTATATATGTATATGAGGAGTTTGGGAGTTTCACAATAGCTTCTCATTCGAACAATATTCATATGATGAAATCGGGAATATTAAAATTATTAGGATTTATTGTAAGTTTATTATCATCATGTTTTTTTGACTGATTTTTTCATTCTAAATTAAATTAATTATGTTGTAGATGGTCATTGAGACGGAATTGAAATATACCGCGAAAATAGAATATGATAATGATAAAGTTCAGATCCTGAAAAGAAAATTTAGTGATTTTATTCAAACAAAGCCATCACCAATAAAGGTCGCAAAGGTTAAGAAGGGGTGAATATGCAGTGGATAAGCTCATTTTCGGCTTCATCTGACTCAAAATCAAGGTCATATTTACTTTAATAAACCAATCATTTAATAAAATTTTATTTTCACTTACATCGGGCTTTATCTTTAAGCGTGTGTGCTACATATGGATGGTATAAGTGTAATTGTATCGGAAAAATAATATGTTTATATGTTGATTCATTGCCTTCATGGCATTTATGGACGCCAATCATACTTTTTGGCAGGCGTTCTAAAATGGAGCATGCACGTGACTTGTTTCTCGGGGATGTTATGTGAAATCTCTTGATTAGAGTAACTGAATCATATAGGATAATAAAAGGCTTCCTAGATATTCATAATTCGTTATACGGTAAATCAAAAATCGACCGTGAAAAATGATTCTGCAAAACCTTATACGTACCCAATTTTGTGCGACTAACGCAGTGTTAATTTTTTTTATCGATATGTAACACGAGCTTTATTTTTTGTGCATCGCCTTAACGTCAAATTTATACGTGGTTATGTTAAAATAACACACATATTTGTTTACAGGTATGAAGCCACCTATTTCTCGAATATCCACAGATCTTTATTATTGCTATTTTTATAGTGAATCCGGAAAACGTAATACCGATACGTATAAATTGCATGACTGACGATGTTTTATACAGTACTGTTTTATTTACCACATGATCGAAACATCTAATAGAACATGGTGCTAACAATTATATGCAAACCACGTAATACACAGATTAATTGTTACGTATAAGCCCTTATATAAATCTTTTTTGTAATAAAATTTCTGATTTTTGATTTCGTTACTGATATTACATTTTTTTACCAATCTTTCCTTTCCTACATCATAGTTTTTGTGTCGATAAGACAATAGCCAGAGCTATTTGTACGAGTATACTTAGTCAAGCAAAAAATTTCGTTTCTACAGTTGGACGATAGGGCCTCTGACTATGTATGTTGTAAGATTGAACATGCTCATAATTACCGTTTGGTTGCTCAGTACTTTGGCGAAGGTAATCGTTTGTTCCACAAAAAATATGCAATCTATCCTTTATGGAATAGTCTTCTCAGATATAGTTATAGCCTTTCGAGGCAGGCCCAGGATCCGACTATTACCTCCCTGCAATTTACTTCTTCTTCTTCCAATGATCATGCAAAAAATTTCGTCTCTATTGAGCGATAGGGCCTCTGACTTTGTTTTTTCACATTTACAAAAACCCAATTTT